TTTTAGCTAGTTAAGTTTTGAATGGTAATTCAAAAAGAAATGTTTAACATAAACTAAAATTTTGTAAAAAAACATTAAAACATATATTATAAGTCAAGTTAAAATGAAAAATCAAAAACTAAATAAATCACCATTCATATATATATATATATTAACTAAACTCTAGAATAAAGTCAAAAACTTGAATCCAAAACCTAAAAGTGAGAATCATAAATATTCAGTTAGTATTACTATCTTTTATTTTTGCTAAAAAAAACAGGTGAAAGTGATAGAACATGAAAATTAGTATAAAATAACAACATAACGAAATGGCTTTGCAAAATCTATACTATGAAACAAAGGATACTAAAAAGTATACACATCTCGACCAAATACAAATTAACGAGACACCTTGAGAAAATATGGAATGACAACACAACCAAGCTCACTATCGCGACAAAGAAAGAGACAATCTCACAAAGTACTCTCTGATACCCCGGAGATCAATTCAGGCCAAAAGTAATCAATCAGAATAAGAAGAGGGACAACACCAAAAGATATAATCAAACCCATCGAAAGTAACAGAGGAAGTACGAGAAATTAAAGACCACAAGCAAATAAAAATTTTTGGACCAGTAATTATTAATTTTTTAAAAACAAAAAAATTTAAACAAAATGATCAAATGGTGAATCAAACACTCCACCTCTTCTTTTCTCTACGTAATCCATGTACGACTTAACTGAAAAATTTTTATGCATATTTTTTTTTATCGATAATATATATAAACAAAACATCAAAAAATTTGGACCACAATCATGGGCTTGGCCTGCTTGCCGTCAGGGCCGGCCGAAGAGGAAGCACAACAATAACACATAATAAAAGTGTTCGAAGCCATGGAGCAACACACAACCAAGCTACGATTGTGCCAAAGGGAAGACAAGCCCCTAAGTATTCTCTAACTACCAAGAGGAGTCATCAGAATTAGAAGACGGACAACTTGTAGGGCAAAGACAGCCCCATCAATCTTAGAGTGGATGCAAAGCCACAACAAACAACTAGAGGTTTCGAAAAGCATAGACCATCAACTTCAAAACCAGACTAATAGCCGAGTGAATGCACTTACCAAGGGCAGCACAAGCACTACCACACATAACGCAAAACCTGGAGTTAACCCACACTATGCTAAGAGCAAGGAAGCCACCATATCCGAGATACTTAAACAGGGGTACAACAATATCCAGCATTCGAAGAAGTAAAATCTCAAACAAATCAACAAGCTCAACCAAAGACAACAACAATCCATGACATCAAACCAAGAAGCAAAGGATTGAGAGGAGGAGCATCAATAAACTACCTAACGAGCAGTCCTTAAGCAAGACAAAGGAGATCATAAACGTCTAACCAAACTCGCTCAAACCCAGGACCTCGGCAAGAAGACCTTTATCGCAACTTGTCGAGAAAGAGACCACCACCTATCACAAACTCAAATCCAACGTGTCAAGATAGTATTATTATCTTAGATAAAGGATTGTTCTAAGGATTAAGTGAATCCCAAGACCAATAACATCTGAACAAACACTTTTTTGTTGACGTACATCTGAACAAACATTATTTATGGAATGTTTGCTCCTAAATACAGTGTATATAATTTAAGCAAAAACCAATTCAGGAAAGAAATGAATAATAATAATTAATGTAAGTCAGTAGGGTTTAAATGAGAGTCTCCATCAGGTAGTTTCTCTATTGGATAGTTTTTCATAAAAATCCCTCATC